TATATATATTATATAAGAATTAATATATATATTAGACAAGAATATAATTACCTGTAAATTACTTTATACTGTGTTAATAATTAATTGATATGTAATTGTCCAAATCTAGACTCTAAACAATGAATAAATTCAATTTATTTATGAGTCCAAACATCTAAACAGATTATTGAGTTTTTAGTTGTATATATTGTGCTACCGTAGTCAACTGACACAGACACAGAGTAGTGGTGTATTCCGGTTGTGTACTAACTTATACTATACTATACTACTGTATTACGGTACTAATACTGTATTACAGAATTCTTTGAATTTTGAATGCACCAGTAATATAAATGAATAGAATTCAATATTGAAGGTATAACCTTACAAGTTTGGATTGTTTCAAATGAGCATGATACAGTATGTCACCTCATTAATAAAACTCATTAATGTTGTGCATTCTATAATACCAGTAAATAATAATTTGGTGATGCTGTATAAATTGATGAAATAATATACAGTATTTACATAATAATAATTTATGACAGATTTATTACAGAATATAGGAATTTTAGTTATTAGTAACAACTATTTTTATGCAGTTTTCTATTATAAAAGGTTTGACAAAAGGGTTGAGATTAGATTTTCTTAATTAAGGGATTAGGAGAGAGAGAGAGAGAGAGAGAGAGAGAGAGAAGAGTTAAAAGTTATTAAATAAATTGTTGCTAATACATAATATACCAATTATAATTTTGCATATTAATTCCTACAAAACCAATATTGTATTTCCTGTTTAGACCGTGTGGCCGTGAATGACATGAAATTAGATGCCATAGAATTGACGGCAAAACTATTGATAGATTTGGACGAAAAGATAGAGAAAAGTCTGGAAACGGACACAACTGTGAAGACAGTGAATAAGTTCTCGCAGCTCTATATCCCTCCCAATGAGAATGAAATCGCGAGCGTTAGGGAAGAAAAGTTTTCCGAAGTGTTGCGCGATTTGGCAAAAATGGAGACTCAGATCCAGGAGGCCATCAGACAGGCGCAGGTCAACCGACGCTACCAACTGGTGGCCCGATTGCGACCGCTTCTCAATTACGTGACGCATATCCGAAGAAATATGGATTTGCTTCGCAACCGAATGGTTGCCGTCACCACTCTCTCCACCATTGCCTTCACTGTCAATGAAGTGGTCGACCAGTTTGGAGATGTCATGACCAGCAGCTTCGGAATGCCCGGCGGTGTAGTCGTACCCGGAGATAGAGGTTAGCTTTGTTTCTCATAATTTCCTATTTATTGTAATATTTATTTGTAAATCAGTTGCCGTTTCTGTTATATTAATTCCTACAAAACCAATATTGTATTTCCTGTTTAGACCGTGTGGCCGTGAATGACATGAAATTAGATGCCATAGAATTGACGGCAAAACTATTGATAGATTTGGACGAAAAGATAGAGAAATGTCTGGAAACGGACACAACTGTGAAGACAGTGAATCTCTCAACTCTATATCCCTCCGAATGAGAACGAAATCGCGAGCGTTAGGGAAGAAAAGTTTTCCGAAGTATTGCGCGATTCGGCAAAAATGGAGACTCAGATCCAGGAGGCCATCAGACAGGCGCAGGTCAACCGACGCTACTAACTGGTGACCCGATTGCGACCGCTTCTCAATTACGTGACACATATCCGAAGAAATATGGATTTGCTTCGCAACCGAATGGTCGCCGTCACCACTCTCTCCACCATTGCCTTCACTGTCAATGAAGTGGTCGACCAGTTTGCTCTACAGTACTGGTCGTCGAAGCCTGACGGGCCGCCACATCAGCATGGGCCTCTATCTCCAATCGAAACAAAGAGTATTAAAGGATAAATAACATTATAAATAAACATTTAGTCAACGGCAAAGACACCTCAAAGAGAAGCAAAACCAATTGCTGTCCACACCTGTGGCCTCTAATTTGGCCGCCAATGAGACCTCAAACACCACCACACCTTCCCCTCCAACTCAACTATTTGTAAATCAGTTGCCGTTTCTGTCCTCAAAGAGAAGCAAAACCAATTGCTGTCCACACCTGTGGCCTCTAATTTGGCCGCCAATGAGACCTCAAACACCACCACACCTTCCCCTCCAACTCAACCCAATCCCCTCCAACCCAATGCCACTCATGTTATTCTCTAATAAGTATGCATTCATTTAAATCTATGTATTATTTATTTAAACATTTTCAAAATAATTATTTATTAAAATTTATAATTTATAAATATTTAATGTACTGTTTGTTTGGGAATAAAACTTTGCCAATATTATTCAATTCCATACATAATTGGAATATATTTTGTTTTAATAAAGTTTTCAATTTTCAATTCTTACTTTGCGTTCAGTTCTCACTTACTGTATAATTTGTAACATAACTTATAAAATTGCAATATTGTGTAACAAATAAAAAGTTACAATATTTCTAATGTCTGTACATTATGATTTTTAAAGTAGTACCGTACAATAATTTATATTAGTTATAGCGGCTTATATTAATTATAAAATTATGCATTATATCAGTACTTATTGGTAAGAATACTGCAATTTTATTAATACATGGCAGTATTTACGAACTTTGATACCGTATAAAATAAAATTATATCATATCATATGATATGAGAGAGAGAGAGAGAGAGAGAGAGAGAGAGGAGTTATTAAATAAATTGTTGCTAGTACATAATATAACAATTATAATTTTGCATATTAATTCCTATAAAATCAATATTGTATTTCCTGTTTAGAATTTCTATAAACTGACCAGGATAGCTTAGGAGATTATAGTGAGTTATAATACTAATATTTGCAATTGCTAACATAAGTCTACTATAACTGTAAGTGAAATTAAATTCAATTATTATGATAATGAGATAGATTTAACTTGAATAAAATGTAGTACAGTATCATAACTACTAGATTACCGGTTAAATGATGTGCACAATAGGGGTTACAATGTTTGAGTGCCCTTTGAGTACGTCTAAGTACTTACGTTACTTACACAACACTTACACTTAGTGCAAAACGTCACTTAACACTAACTCAACACAAACGTAACTAAACCGCATGTAAACCACTGTTAATCGTGTTGCGCACTCAGTACTTCAAATTGACACACAATATGCTGACCTCCCGGTGCCTCAAAGGAGTGACCGTCGGATTCCCACTCAAAATAGAGGTGAGACTTACCACTGACTACATGACTGCCAACCATTGCATTCATTGCATGGATCTGATGACAGGCCAACGAAGTGAAGGAAGTGAGCGTTGACTTCAACAAAGACTTCATCCAAAGGATTGTCTCCAAAATGGATTGGTCTGTGCTGTCGACCACTGCGGGACAGGTATGTCGCCCTATCACCCAACTGTCCATCACATGTGCCATCAATTGCTTCATTGTCTACAGTTTGGAGTGGAGTTGCCGTCCGATTACCCGCAGGTGAACGCCACGGAAGACCTACTGAAGCGCATACACCACGCGTTGCTTGAGATCGAGATAATGAACGGACATCTGGTTTGTCCGGTTTGCCCAGCGTTTAAGGGCTAGAGACTCCCGTAGGGATTATACAACACATTGCTTCTGCTCCAGATTGATAGCCAACAAAAGTATAGTAAAAATAATGAAGAATACTAAGTATGTTTATAACAAAAGACTTTAATATTATGTTTGAAATGAGATTTTTATGTATTTATATGTCATTAAAACAAATCATTTGAAGGTATTATGCCGTAAATGAAATTAAAATTCAATTCAATAATGTTTGCGATTATCTTATGGATGGCCTCTTAAGACGGATGCATTGGTTCCGCATATCTTACCACTGATTGAGATCACTCTGAAGGCTATTAATCAGAATATTTGAAACAATATTCCGATTGCTTCCTAATTGACTAAATATAAAGAGATGATTCATTTTGAAGTGCTTTTGTGGCTATTGAATGCAATGCTAAGTTATAGTCTGTAAATATATAGTAAAGTATATGAATATATAAATATTAAAAGAATAGTTCTCAAGAGAAATCACTTAACGGTAATTAAAGCCAAATCAAATTATTCAGAAGGCTCGCCAGGGAAGGACAATCTGACAACGCCCGGAAATCGACACGAAAAACCAGGTGAAAAGACCACTCTCAGGCCACCCTTCTTATTACTGGCATTGGGTCCGCTTTTGTGCTTAGAATCGGACCCTTTCCACGGAAAGTATGATTTTCTGTTCAAATATTGAGTTAGTCTTACATTTCTTACAATCACTTGAGTGTAGCTTAACTTACATTAGATTCAAAATGTTGGGCCCTTTTCTAGCACCGGGATCAGTGCCCTTCCTAACACCGGGATCAGTGCCCTTAGCAAGGGGCTTTTTCTTTTCGTCCACAAAAATGCCGTCTTCTGTAGTGGACGTGCCTTTCGTTACTCTGATTTCAGTGTTATTTATATATCAGTTCATAATATGCTTTCCTAATCAATAAATTATTTATAATTACTTTATGGCCACTGTTTTGGCGATTTTGATGGGCGTTCCGGTGATTGTGTCTAATATGGAATTGGTTTGCGTTCCTCGACAGTACCGGGCCATCAGTGGTGACATAACCGCTGTTTTGATATTTGTTGGAAAATATTTGGACGAGTCTTGCGGTGTCATTGCAGAGAGGAATACTCGGGCTCTTTCTTGACTGTAACCACTGGTCTCTAACGCCATATTAATTAAAGTTGAAGTCACTTTCGGGAACTCTTCCTCTAAAGCTTTCACCACTGATTGCGTATAAAAAGTATAAATAAGTATTAAATCTTATTTCATTTACTCGATATTAATATCGATATATGAAAACTCATACTTTTGTGTTTCTCTGCTGTGTTTGGTGGGAAACTAGCCCTGGAGGCTATGGGTGCCGTTTGAGGTCTGAATGGTTTAGTTTTACTAAAGTCAGTGTCCAGTGGTTTAGCGCTCGATGTTTTGCCCGAAGATTCGGTCCGTTTATAACCCATTTTCTCCAAACGATTCATGGCTTCCATTGCGTTTTGATCGCAATTGTAGAGTAAGTCAAAGAGGACCGCTTCATCAGCTTCGGGATACATAAGCTTCAAGTATCTGAGTTTCATTTTGGGTGACCCTGGACATATAGCTGAACTACTTTGATAGCGGATATGATTTGGGCCTAACGTTGCGATTATGGCAGCAATCACTTCATGTTCGATGTTATCGTGTCTTTGGATTTAATAAATTATTAATATATAAAAACTATTAAATTTGTATATATAATGCCAATACTTAATAAGCATATGACGAATCACTTCTGGATCTACTGCTGGAAAATAACCCTTTAGTTTATAAAATAATGTTTCATCGGGTGGCAGATTAAAGGATCGGGTATAGCCCTCAGCCAACAGAGCACTGATAACCAGGTTTTCTCGGTTATGATAACTGAAAACATATAAAATTTTAATATTTCATTGAATTATAAAGTAAATGATTTAGCCTCACATCTTCATTAAATGATTAATATAGCTGTCGTCCACTTGTGGGAACTGTTGGCATATCTTATGACTCGGCACGGAATCGGACACTTTGTGTCGGGACGTAAATGGCTTAAAGTGCAATAATCATTAGCATTTCATATAACACCGGTAATGAAATATTAAAATGATTGATTACCTGAAAATACTTTCCATAGGAAGTGAAAGTATGAGACGGAGAAGAAATGCGCGAAGAATGAGAAGAGCTTTGATGTCCCTTCAGATCAATTCAATTCAATTCTTAATCTATTCATCAAATTCTATATATTCTTATAGTAAAGAAATAGATACATATTTTTTGAAGTCCCAGTGCTGTGGTGGTAACTGGTCGTTAAGAAAATAGCTATACATTCAAAGAAATGTATGTTTAATAAACTAAGACATTTGTGTGCAAGTATGGAATCACTTACTATTTCGAAGTCTTCGGGTCATACTTGCACTGCCAGCCCGCGGGTAGGACGTGGTCGTGCACTTGGATGGCATATGAGGGTGGAAGTGATGATTGTGATGATGTGGATGGTGTTGATGCTAAATTATAGGGTGAATGAGGGTAAATCGTCGCCATTCTTGCTTTCGTATGTCTTAAGAAGTAAATAATCAAATGAATGAATGACTCAGTTATTGATCGCCAGTTCTATCGATCGATGAATTCGTGGGTTTCTATGCATTGCCATCACTGCTTCACTATAGCCACTGTTGTGTCAATGCATTGGCATTGCATTGCACTTATTCTGGGAGAGCATCCCTGTCCCTGCTCTCCTAACATTGCATTCTTACAATTCATTTCAATTCAATATATGGTATTTCCTATTAATTTTTCAGATATTCTGTTATTTTATAGTGTGTTACATAACTTTTTTCAGTTGTCGTAATACTAAGATTTAGCAGGTATATAAAAGTGAACTACTTGTCAATGAACACAAGTTTTCCTACAGGTTAACCTAATTTGAAGCGTAGAGTAAAACTCTTAACCACTGATTTCCAAATAAGGGAACTCCACTCCAAAATATTTATTAACTTTTAGTTTTAATTTAAATTCATATCAATGTATTTACGGGGTTTTCTTATTATATTTTTGTCATCAGTAGTCTTCTCGTGGTTTATAATTTTTTTAATTACATTTTCATTTAATTCAATTGATTCATCAGTTGCTGTGATCAGTGAGTCTTCTAATAGTTATATCAATTCGACCACAAAATGGTCTTTTGGTTCATTTGTTATAAACAATTCACTCAAATGTGTCAATACCTCAAAAGTGGTCAAACTATTAGTTTTAGTTCACTCTTCTGTCCCACACTTTGACTTTCGGCGAGTGATTCGCACACATAATGTGATTGAAAACTCTTTGACCATCTTTTTGCTCGGATCAGTTGAAGACCCGACACTTCAATTGCTAATTGACAATGAATATAAGACATATGGTGATATAGTGCAGGGTTCTTTTTACGACTCATATGAAAATTTAACTCTAAAGCATATCTTAGGCTTGACATGGGCTGCAAAATACTGTTCCGGCGCTCAGTTGGTCCTGAAAATGGATGATGATATATTTGTTAACTATCCACTGCTTAATGAAATGCTTGCCGTTAGATATCCTGAGTCCAAGTCTGATCCTTTAGTGACCAGAACTGGTCATAAAGTGATTATATGTTATATTCAACACAATATGAAAGTGATTCGTAACCACACTTCCCGGTGGTTTGTCGAGCAATCAGATTATAAGCAAGAGTATTATCCTGATTTTTGCTCAGGTAATGTTAGTGTTAATCTACAGTTATAATAACTTTAGTTATGTGAATTTATTTATAAAATTGACATGTAATTATATTATTCATATTTATTAATTTAAATTTAGCCATAAATAATAAAATGTTTTGTACTTGTTAATAAAATTTACAATTCTAAAGGTTGGGCTTATATCACAACAATTGAAGTAGTAAACGATTTGTTGGACCAAATTGGTGATCAATCGGATGATCTCTTTTGGATCGATGATGTCTATATCACTGGTATTATTCGTGAATTAGTTCCAGACATACAGTTGGAGGCTTTAAATACATTATTCAACGTTGACGTCAGCTATTTGTATAATTGGATAACAGATAATTCGTACCATAGATATAAGTCCTCCATACAGAAGTCATTGCGATTGCCTCTGTAATTAGATAATAGGTTACGAAACTTTTATTTGTTATACAAACTGGCCGTTTATACGACGATAGGTAAATGGTGGTGAAATAGGTTTCTATTAAGAATTAAATTGAAACCCAAAAATATGAACGGAATTGCAAAACAAATATCACTTTAACTTTTATAAAGAAAATTATTTTTGTTAGATTTGATAAAGAATTCAATCAAAATAGTTTTTATCGAATAGGATTAAATTTTATTTTAAACATTACTTCCCTGTAAATAAATTAAAAATGTACAATGATCTATGAGAAATATTAATATTTATAAAAAAAATTTAAATAAACATTTGTAAGTAAATTTTAATATTTTTTATTTAGGATTAGTAATGAGTATACAGTAATTATAATTATACTAATACAATAATTAGTAATAGTATGAGTACCAATCAATAGTTGATTCAATTAAACACAAGTTGTTTAAATTAGTATCAGTGTTTTAAATTTACAATGTAATAGTGACTCTATTAAACCTATTTTAATTAACAATATAAAAGCAAAAGTTTATATTTCTATTTTTATTATCTTTTTTATTTAAATATAAAAAAGTTCATTAAAATATTGAATTTTACAAGTTTTTAGTCAAATAAATCTCTTTATTAATAACGCTCTAAATTTCTAGAAACTAGAAACAATTAAAAGTGTTTACATTTTCTTTGTATGATTCTGTGGACATCACCCAAATTGGCCAAAGAATTCTTCAAAATGAGGCCATTTTTATCTAAAGAAAGGCCTTCTCGTGTCCAACACATACTTCTAGTGAACAATATGAATGACGGCTCAGACAGTTGTTCACATTTGCATTTGGGATCAGTTGAGTACCAAAACTTGTCACTCATATTATTATGATTGAGAATTGTTAGTGATTTTAAGACCGACTTCACTGATACTTGTCTACAAATATTTTCACTCAAATCCATTTGATTTGAATTGTAATAAGCATTGTAACTCACAACCGACAGTAACAACCAGTGAACTTCATATTGTAGTTTTCACGTTTAACCTAGGTTTTCACTTCCCAGCCGGTGTAGACTGTTTGTGAGACGTGTACTCAAAGGTTGCCGGCCTGTTTTATTCTTATTATGAATGACAGCTTTGCGGTCACTCGAGGACGCTATCATTTCCATTGGCTGTACTGACTGTCCGTTTACTTGATTATTGAATCTATTATAGAGTCCATTCAAAGAGCGTTTGTATTGAGGGTTGGCATCGGAATTGTGGTCATTTTGTGATCCATAGCTGTTATATACCGGTGTCGAATAGTTTTGGGAATAACCATTATTTTGATATAAGGGTTGATTGTAATTAAGGGTTGGATTTGACTGATATGAGTGTTGACTATTTTGATATAAATTAGGATTTGACATTTTGTTGTAATCATTTGTTTGTGGGTAATTTTGTTGAGTATTGTAAGCATAATTAGTATAAGAATTAGAATAATTCTGATGGTTATTACCATTATTATTTTGGTAATTTTGATTATATACTGATTCATAATAAGGCTGCTGTTCGTTGTTATATGAGTTTGTGGATTGTGTATAATTGGTAGGCATTTGTTGGGAATTATAATTATTTTGCTGTCCATAACTAGATTGCGATCCATAAAAAGGTTGTGATCCATAGATAGGACTGGAGTAATTTTGTTGGTAAGAATTAGTGCCCTGATTGTAACCATAAGAATTTGTCGGAATTTGGTTTCTATCATTATATGTTCTTTGATTTTGAGTATAATTTGAGTAATTTATCTGAGAATTACCATAACTTTGAGGTCTATTGTAGTTCCCATAACCACTAGAATATGGCTGTGAGTAAGAAGACTGTCTGTTGTAACCATCATATGACACATTTTGTTGATTATAATTAGAAGTATACACTTTTTGAGGAGGGTATGACATATTTTGGTTATAATTTTGATTAAAGCCACTGTTTGTGTAATTGTTATACGAATTCTGTGGAGAATAAAGTTGTGTTTGCATAGCATTATAGTATGCAGGTTGTGAAAAGTTGTTATAACCGGAAGTATAGTTGTTTTGAAAACCATAATTTGGTCGCGAATTATAATTCTGTTGGTTTCCATAAGAATTGTAGGCAAAATTATTCTGGTTATAGGGACCTGAATGTGGAGTATTTTGAGACAATGTATAGGTTGGAGGTTGTGGCTGACCATAACCTCCATAACCTCCATACGGCGAGTTTTGTTGTGGAGGGTGGGGTTGATTATATCGGTTATTCATAGAAGGCATTGACGGTCCGTTATATCCATTGTTGAAGGGAACGGAATAATTAGAGTTGTAATTCTGTTGCAAATAATTTTGTGATGTATTGTAATTATTTGGGAAATTGTTATTATATACCCTTCTTAAGGGGTAATATATTGGTTTCGCATTCAATTGCGACGGTTTATACCGTTGACCCACAACTGGTCTGTTCTGAGTTGAGTAATAATAGTTAGGGTTTAATGCAGGAGGCTTTCCGGCCCCGTATTGCAAGGATTGAGCGTGAAAGAAGCCAGTATTTAGATAGCCGGGTGCTTTATTATAGGGACTATACTGAGGATTACTATATTCATTCTGAGTGTGTGGGTATTCAAAGCTATACTGCGGTGCGTTATATCGTTGACTTGAATGCAATGGAGGGGTCGGATAGCCTCCATTGGGTCTCTGAATGGATATATAGCCAATATAACTGACAAAGTCTCAACTTAAATCAAAAACTTACATATTGTGGATAGGGCTGTCCAAATGCACCGGAATTTGGTATATACACTGGCATCTGATTGGTGTTTGGCATATCTGAGGATAAATAGTTTAAAACCTCTGAGCAAGTTCACTAGTCAAACAAACTTTACCTCCATTTCCGATTCCACGTCTTCCTATCAAACCATTTCCAATGTTCTCGTCTTCTTCAGGACTCACTTGCACTTCATTTTCGCTGTCATTTCTCAAAGGAATCCATTCAGTGGTTGTCGTTGGTGTTGATGTGGTTGTTGTCAATTGTGTTTCATGTGTCAGATCTATAACGTCTGTATTCAATGTCTGATCCGTGTTTTCAATCAATTCAGTTGTCTCTGAATTAATTGTTTGTTCTGTCGTTTGGGCGGATTCTTCGACAGAAGTAATAGTAGTGGTCGTGATTGAAGACAACTCCGTCGATGACTCTGAAGACTCTGTAGTTGTTGTTAATTGAAGACAATCTTCTATAGGACTGACACCCTTAACAATGACTGTTTTCGAGTCTAAAGATATGCCTTCACTAAAGAAATCAAAGGTATTGAAAGAAGTCATTAAAGTGACGGTTGTGTTGAACTGGTCTTCACAATCACAATTCTTAGCCATTGAAAACTTCTTTGAATCGATTACATTATCCGGATCTTTAATCTTCTTTTGTATAACAATTTGACCACATTTTTCACTACCACTTAGTTCTACTTCAGCCACTATTTAATTGATTTTTAATATATTACTAACATTGTTAACACATTAAATAACAAACATATCACATTTGTTAATAAAAAATATTAAATAAATTTTTTTAATTAGTTTTTTATAAGCAATTAAATAAACAAGATAGTTTTTAAAATTCTCCTTGAAGAAAATAGATCGAATAGAATAATGTAATTAAATGTGAAAATAACTAAAAGCAAACAAACCCAAATCAAATTGACACATATTTTTCTTTAAGTCATCAGTATTAAGAAATATTGTGAAATTTGTAACTTAAGGAACACCGCCTGTAAGTGACAGACATAACGGTAGTGAAAGAAGCACTAGGCTCAGTAGTAAAACTAGTTGTCTAGCAAACTTAAAACTTAAATTAACGTGGTTTGCTTTTCTATTGAATTAGAAATTTATGGATAAATAATAGGTTTGGAGTTATTGAAGAACTGACCCATTAATTGATATGGAATTTACAAACGACAAGATGACTAAAAAACAAATGAACAGAATTTGTGATTTCATTGCCACCCTGTTCACTTTAGCACCAATTTTCTAGACATCAATGTTTAAAGTATTTCCAAAAGTTATATCATTCCGTATCTGAAATTCTAAACACTATGGCCTCTAATACTTCCTTATATTTTGCTGAATAAAGGGAAAACTGTTGACTAGTCGTTCAGATCGTTAGATTAGTAATTAGTGTTCATTTAATTGAAATCTTAATTTTATTAATTCTAATTAATTCCATTTCAAATTGTCTAGAAAAATTAGTTTAAATAAGAAATATGCTATTAGGTTATCTTTAAAATAAACTATTAATACAATTAAAACTTTAAATCATTGTATATAATTTGTTTGTTAACCCTATAAATCATTTACTAGTTAATGAACATTAAACATACAAGTGTCAGCAATTTGTTCAAATTGTCTATTAATGAAATAATTTATTTTATAAAAAATACATAAAGTCTACTGTGGATCGATTGCACAAATTTCTTTGAAATCACTTTTGTCTATTTAAGTAATATTTTAATCTATAACATTTTACACTTATTTCTCATTATTTGACACTTAAATAAACAAATTAAATATTCAATTGAGACTATTTTGATAAATATAATTGCTCAAGTTAA